ATCACAGTAAGAGGTAAATAGGCTTCTATGCATTGGCCCTGGGAAACTCCAACCACATAACATACGTTGTTCTTGTGGGAAAGTACAGTTTAAGTTCCAAGGAACCAATTTGTGGACTCTTGGAATTGAACTCTCCGTACTTGGCCCGAGGAGAATGGTTCAGCTGACTTTATGATTAGAATAATCAATGTTTCCACAATATCTTGCAAAATTGCAGAATTTTGTAACAACTGCCTACGCGAATTGTGCCAAAGATCAACTGTAAGTGGCAGACTGAAGTCTCAATTCTGTGGCTTGCCCAGCACCGGTTTGGCTAACAGCAAAGAATGCAGGCAGAGCTGCTAACAGCGTGTTTTGATGCTGCCATCTGTATTATATAAATCACTATTTATCTCCCTTGCATTTTGGGCATGATAATGTGAAAGAACTTAGCCTAACTCTTCGGGTATGTTCTGAGGATGTCAAGATGAGACATTCTCCACACAGTAGGAACCATGGCGGTTATTAGGCTAATTAGCCTGACAACTTTAGACATGTGACCAGGCTGCGTTCAGTCTTCAGGTCACTGGAAAAACCTAGCAAAAAAAAGAAAAAAACAAACAAACAAAAAACCCCACCTCAAACCTGAAAATAGTTTCTTAATGGCTGGACCTTTCTCAATAGTCAGAGTGTTTTTGTCATGGCACTGCAGTCGAAATAGCCAAAGAAAAACCCAATATACTAATAATCCACTAAAATTATTTTATAGGTCTCAAATGATACATGGCTCATAGAAAAGAACATATGTTAGGAATAGGAAGAAACAATGTTAGCAAAATCAGGAAAAGGTAAGTATGCCACAGATGAGTCTTAGAAAAATAATCAGCTCACCAGAACATCTCTCATGAGCCCATGTATTCACAATGGCTCTCCCTCTCCTTTCTTGAGTATGCCTTTCCAGGTGCCTAACAATGTCTGAACTAACTATTCTATCACAGAACAAATTCTCTACAGTAAGTGCAGAATATGTAGGTACTCCCAATATATTCTAGTTGACTACAAAATTACAGTACCAATTCTGTTTTCATAGTTAATAATACAAACCTATTCAAAATCTATAGCTTCCATTTTTTTTTCTTTACTGGAAATCAAAGACTAATTTATGCTTTATTGCAGAAAATGCATATTATAAGATGGAATCAGTATCTTAAAAAACAAAATTTGGACTGTACACAAAGAAGTAATGAGTCAGAGACTACTCTATAGTTTAACTGACATCAGAAACTGTAAAACTAACAACTCCCTCTTTTGTATCTTCAGTATTCTGAATGTTCTTGTATACTAGTGTATTATTTGTTTACATTACTATTATCCCATATTACACTATAAGTTTCTTAAAAACAGATTATCACATCCTATTCAACTCTATTTCTCTACTCCCTAGTGGAGCATCTGACATACATCCATGTTCAATAAATGTTTCTTAAACTAGAAGTATAAACTCAGTTGAATACATAAACCCCCATCCTCAATTCTGAAATACATGCGTGTGTGTGTATATGTATATACATGCATATATAAAAGAGACAGATGTTATTTTAATTTTTTCTTCACAAAGAGGGGAGTTGATTTGAGAACTAGATAGTTCGCATTATAATAGAAGGTCACCTAATTTTTTCAGGGAACACTAACATCAGCTTGATCTTAATCACAAAGTAGTGCTCAAAGCTAATTATGGTAATATGTTGATAAACTAGTATCTTAATTCCCAAGCTGAAATAGTCTTGTAGAAAACAAAAAATGTCTAAAATGATTCCATAATTTCTACAGAGATTTTTTTTTTTTTTTTTAAAGTCACTATTAGCCATACCCAGCACAATTTATTGTTTACTATGGACCAATGGTTGTGCTAAGCACTTTACTATAATATCTTAATAACCCAAATAATGATAAGAGGTATGTATTATTACCCTGTTTTACTAAGAAATATTTTTTTAATTATTAGGAAAAAAATTGTTGGCCTTAGAGATGATCCGGACCAGTGTTCTCATTTTACTTTAAAACAAACAAACAAATGGGGCGCCTGGGTGGCGCAGTCGGTTAAGCGTCCGACTTCAGCCAGGTCACGATCTCGCGGTCCGTGGGTTCGAGCCCCGCATCGGGCTCTGGGCTGATGGCTCGGAGCCTGGAGCCTGTTTCCGATTCTGTGTCTCCCTCTCTCTCTGCCCCTCCCCCGTTCATGCTCTGTCTCTCTCTGTCCCAAAAATAAATAAACGTTGGTAAAAAAAAAAAAATTAAAACAAACAAACAAACAAACAAAGCCACCAAGAGGAACACAAAAAACAAAACAAAAAAACATTTGTGTTAGAATAAAAATACATAGAAGAAATTACACCAAAAAAAAAAAAAAAGGAAAACTCTTAGAAAAAAGGACTAACTTATCTAAGAAATGGTCAGAATTCAGACTATTATAGTATCTTGAAGAGACACCTGCATTCCCATGTTCACTGTAGCATTATTTGTAATAGCCCAAACATGAAAATAACCTAAGTGGCCATAAATGGATAAAGAAAATGCACGTACACACACACATACACACAGGAAATGTTATTCAGCCATGAAAAAGGAAACCTTACCATTTGCAACAGCATGAATGGACCTTAAGGGCATTATGGTAAGTGAAATAAGTCAGAGAAAAATAGTGTACAATCTCACTTATATGTAGAATCTTAAAAACATCAAACTTACAGAAACAGAGAGTAGGACATTGGTTGCTAGGGGAGGAAGACATGCGAAGATGACAAACTTTCAGTTATAAGATGAATAAGTTCTGGGGATCTAAGGTACAGCATGGTGATTACAGTTAATAATACTGTACTGTATACTTCAAAGTTGCTATGAGAGTAAAACTTTAATGTTCTCACCATAACAACAACAACAAAAAAGTAGTTATGTGAGGTCAAGTATACGTTAACTAACCTTATGTGGTAAACATTTTGCAAACATACACATGTATCAAATCATTACACTGTGTACCTTAAACTTACATATGTTCTATGTTATATGTAAAAACAGTGTATATTTTAAACTGAGGATCTAAGTGAGTACCTCTTCTGAACTGCAGAAACCATATATTTATCTGCCTCATTGCATCCTGTCATTTAGAGGCCCTAAAAGGCAATCTCACAAACAGTTAACCAAAATGGAACTCACTTATCATCTTCCTAATATATTTCCTTTTCGGTCCAGTGTCTCTCAATTATCCACAATATTAAACTTAGAAGAAAACAGAACTCTAGAATTAATTTCCTAGCTTTATTATTACTGCTGTTTTTACTTTTCATTTTAACCCAACTATAGGTGCTAATAAACAGCAACAGTAGTCAACCTGAACCACACTTATCCTTTCTACTGAAAGAACACAGAATACAGGTTTTGGAATCAATCGGACCGACCCTTTTATCCATTTACCACCTGGGTAGCCTCAAACAAATTACTATTCTTTAAAATTTCCAGTTACCTTCAAAACAAATCCTCCCACCAAAAGCAAGGTGTTTTCTTCTTTGTTGTACTGTGAAACATCCATAAATATTGTGAGGATGTGACTAAAGGTGTTTGCTCCAGTAGGATGCCTCAGTGAAATAAGTTTCCTAGTCTCACATACTACGAAATGGGAGACTTCCCACTTGAAGCAAAGAGATGCCTAAAGTACTGTCTTCAATACACCTTTAATGGAGAAAGGGAGTTCACAAGGCTTTTCAAAAATGGAAGGGTGAAAAGAAAGTGGAGAACGGCTGAGATCCACCCACAGAAATAAAAGCAGAAGACAAAGTCCAAAGTAACTTCTACTTAACATCTCAGCAGAGAGTCAGGCATAATGATGAGTGAAAGAAGCCAGACACGAGAATGAATACACACGTACCATTCCATTTCTGTAAAATACGTTAACACAGAAAAACTAAATTATGGCGATGGAAGTCACAACAGTGGTTACCTCCAGATGGAGAGGGGAAGGGGGCCTGAGAGAGCCTTCTGGGATGCTAAAAAATGTTCTGTATCTTGATCTAGGTAGTAGTTTCGTGAGCACATACATATGTAAAAATTCACTGGGCTGAGCACTTCAAATCTGGCCATTTAAATGTAAGAATACCTCAAAATAAAACAAATTAAGGGGACTAGCAATCAAATCAGGGCAAGGACCACAAAAATCCTATAGGATACTGTAAACTTTGCCTTTTTAGGTTTTAAAAATTTTGCCACCTATGGTGTATTTCTGTACGGTGAGAAGCAATACATGTGTCATAAAATAAGTTCAGTGTTTCTTTGAAAGTAACTAGGAAGGTGGAGCCTGGGCAATCTTTGTTGCCTTCTGTGTCTAGGTCTGAGGGGGCCAGAAACCACAAGGCAAGAGTCAGTGGTGGCCAAGTGCCTGACACAAGTACAGGAGACATGGGGAAACAGCTGAGCCCTGACAAGTAACAAGAAATCCCAGAGGTTCTGCCCTCTTACCAGTGTTCGTTAGTAATTCATCTATATACCACGACAACCCCTGATATCCTGTAGGTACTTATTTAACTTTACCTACTTGGTTCAAAATACTCCCATCCTTCCAACAGAATATCTAGAATGACTTCCTCCTGAGTCAATCTGATTACAAAAATCGAACTATAGGCACGAGAAACATAAACTCTACCATAACCATCCATAGCTCTGGACAACACCAAGAAATGACCTGCGTGTTACATGATGTAAAGCTGTGCGCACTCCATCTTAGAGCTTACAGGTTTCGTTAACTGTCAGAACCATGCGCTGTGCTTCTCTGACACATTTATGGAAGATGTTTGTGCGAGTCACAGAGAAGGGGGTACGGGAAACCAATGAACAAACCTAGATCAGCCAATCCTTTACAATCCCCCCATCCCACAAAAGAAAACAAAAAGTGATGTAATGGTCTAAGACAAAGAAAGTAGAATGAGCAAGGCCCTACGACAAACCCTCTAAGTGGGTGATTTCATTCTCACCTTTATCACGATCATAGAGTAAATCTTCTGTGGAGCAAGGGCTCCCATCCTGGGATTCTGGGGGACAGAAGGGAGACACACACGGAGAATGGCTGCTGCAGCTACTGCTGCGCTCCTGCACGGAGGGGGTCTGTGTGTCGATGCTGCGGGTGCTGCTGCTCCGGTAGTGAGCGGGGAGCGGGGCCCTTCGGCCGTCTGGGATCTCCAAAGGCTAGAAGAGAAACCACCGTCACACGCGTGAGCAACAGCACACACCCTTGATTCGTGCAGAAGCACACGGCGCTGTCCTTGTTTTCATATTCCACTGCTAGCTCACCATAATTGCTTCTTCAGAGAGTAAGATACCAGTCTTGTATCTGAGGTTGATTTCTGCACATTGCCTTGACCGAATGAAAAATTTATTTCAAATCCTGATGGAGTTCGGTCTCAAATACTAAGGATAAATTGCTTTACAAATTCCATAGCCCTCTGTATGTATTCGTAGGTTAGCACTTCCCAGAATCCTCCTCAAGGGTAGGGGCTTTGTTTAAACATGGTATCCCTAGTGCCCACCACTGTGTCTGGCACATAGCAGACAACCAACAAACATTTGTCAAATGACGTTATCAAACTGTGCAAGAAATTACTCGGACTTGCTAGTAAGAAAAGTAAAATCTCATATTCACAGGGGTAGATATTTCTATTGGTCCACTCTTAATTTCAACTTTTTAGAGATCAGGAACAGAACTGTTTTCCATTTCCTTTACAAATTACCCCAAATTTCTCATAAAGTGATTTATTCTATTACTATTAAACAAAGGATGTTAACATAACTCAAAACAATTCTACTGTTTTGGTATCCCTCTAACTAGCACTATTCATAAGTTTGCTTGGTTCCAATGCATTGTTTTGAGTGGCAAAAACAAGAATAGAAATGAAATAGAAATGAAACTAAATAGAAATGAAACTAAAATCACAAAAACACACGTTTTAGACCTGAAAAGACCTTAGAGTTCATTATTCCAGAGTCTTTACAAATAAAGAACCTATAACTTAGTGCTTCTGATGTCACACTAATTAAATGGCATGGGAGCCTCTGTCACAGTGGGCTCTCTACTCTTTTTTTTTTTCGAGAGCGAGAGCAAGAGCGAGAGAGAGAGAGAGCATGAGTGAGGGAGGGGCAGAGAGAAAGGGAGACACAGAATCTGAGGCAGGCTCCAGGCTCTGAGCTGTCAGCACAGAGCCCGACGCGGGGCTCGAACTCACGAACCGTGAGATCACGACCCGAGCCCAAGTCGGACGCTTAACGGACTGAGCCACCCAGGCACCCCATACTCTGCTTCTGCTGTAAAGGAAATCTTACTCCATTTTCCTAATCTGTGTGCTAATGAAGTAAACTCAACAAGTAAAATTCTATGCATTAATCACTTAAAGTATTTTGTTATTATAGAGGCAAGACTGCAATGCTAAGAAAAAGAACAAATACACACTTAGTGTATTTACAACTTATTTTTACCATGTACTGCTTTTACTCTGAGCTTTGTCATTTCAGAGTTTTTAGAAACACTGTCAGAGGGATAATGGAGTATGATAAAATTAGACAAGATTCAAAACGTGTCAATTTTTCTATAACGAACAACCAAGTTAAGTCAAGGCTGAAACCATTAACTACTGAAATAAAAACTTCATTTATCTATACAATGCTGTTAAACCAAAACTATAGCATCCTGATAATGACTACCCTACTATAAAGAGAATATTCAATTATGTAAATATTAGTTCATTTTGTAAACAAATAAGAAAGTAAAACTTTCCAATTAAAGAAAGAAATATTCCCAAAGGAATATTAACTTCGTTGGTCAAACGCTAAGAAAATGTTACTTTAAAATTTTTTCTTTCATTTAAATAAATTTAGATTTTAATTACAATTCTACACTAAATGTTAGAATGAACAAAGAATAAACCAATGGCGCAGGTGTTTTTGGACAAAATTGTATCGCAATATAAGATGTGTGAAGTTCTCGGGGTAACCCATAAGGAAAGGCCATTTTCAAAATTATATTTGAGGGCTTCATGACAGAATTATTTCTTAAAATTTAGATATCTGTCAAGGAAAATGTTACTTTAATAAAAGTGTCAGTATTGGTAAGCAGTAAAAAAATATGATGCATAAATCTATAATTAAAAAAATTAAGAATTTGAGTTATCTTTCATTCATGTCCTATTTGATAAACACAGTCTTTCTGTATTCCCATTCCTTAATCTATAACTGGGTAATATATACCAATCTCCTTCACCAACTTTGTTTTGTTATGAGAGAGTACAAGAATTATAAGAACAAAACAGATTTTAAAAATTTACTGTTTACACAAAATAACAATGGGAAAATATAAAAGCTTAGAAGACTGATATACTTAACAGGACAGTTTTCTTTAGTTATTGGCAGGCTCACTAATGGTAACATTTTGTTTATTAAAACTTTGAGGCACACTTAATCATCAATCGAAAAAATTGTAAAAATTAGTATTGTAGCTGTAAGTGTGTAGGTTACCCTAGAGTAATTCTGAAATGGCTACTGTGAAATTAGAATATAACTTATTTAAAAGCAGAACTGTATAAAAATTTTACCTGTTTAAGTATAGCTGACATACAATGCGCATTAGTTTCAGCTGTACAACACAGTGAATGGACACGTCCATACATTACGCGATGCTCACCACTAATGTAGCTTACCCCGTCACCACACAACGCTATTACTATAACCACTGTACCTTTCATCCCTGTGATTTATTTATTCTGTAACTGGAAGCATATACCTCCCACTCCCCTTCCCCTTTTTTGCTCATCCTCCCACCCTCTCCCTGCTGGCAACCACCAGTTTGTATTTACGGGCCTGTGTGTTCATTTGTTTTGTTTTTAGACAGGTGAAATTATATGGTATTTGTCTTTCTGAGTTATTTCACATAGCATAATACTCTCTAGGTCCATTCACATCGTCACAAATGGCAAGATCTCATTCTTTTTTATGGCTGAGTAACATTCCATTGTGCGTGTTTTATTTATATTCATATGTACTTTCATATATTTTATAGATTAATTATATATATATTAAACACACACGCACACCACATCTTCTTCATCTGTCAATGGACACTTAGGTTGCTTCCATATCCAGGCTATTCTAAATAATGCTGCAGAAAGCAAAGGCATGCACCCATCTTTTTGAATTAGTGTTTTTGTTTTCTTGAGATTATGTTATTAAGTTTTATATTCTAGTACAGTTTGTTTTGATGTTCTTAAGGATCAGCAAATATGTGACTGATTCTTTCATCTTCAAAGAATTAAACCAATTTCACTTCCTTACATTAATGCTTTTAAACGTTACTTAATGTATAAAGGAAACATTTTAATGATGATGTGCTAAGAGATGACATAATTTCCAAAAATGTCTTTATAGCATGATAAATATAAATTAAAAATTTAAATAAAACATCTAGGAAGAAAAAAATTGCACAACCTTTCGGGAGGATAATTTTAGCAATAGTCATCAAAATTTAAACATACAAATGTTTTGACTCAGCAATTTCACTGCTAGAAATTGTTTGCAGGAGTACACAATGTTTCCTAAAGCACTGCTTGAGATGACAAAAACTGAAAATAATGTAAATGTCCATCAACATGGAACTTCTAAATTATGGTGCATTCATACAATGATTCACTACGTTCACACACATACACACGTCAAGAAGGATCACAAGAAATTATGCATAATGCTCGTATCTGCTAATAAGCAATACTGAGAATTGAAAGAAAGTTTTACGTTTTAATTTTACAAATGTAAGATTGGACTCTGTGACTTTTGAAATTAATTAACTTTTAAAACCTGCACATTATTTAAAGGAATCAGATACACATTTGACATAAATTAAATCATTATTTTGGTTCAAAAAAAATCACAGAGATAATTAAGTCAAAGGTTATTCTATGCTTTCTTTTGTTGAGTATGTATTTGTAATGTGGCCAAATATACGTTCACATGCAGTAGTGCCCAGATTACTTTTCTGGGACAGAGGTAATTTATAAAGCATTTTTGGTGAATTTAAAATGGTTCAAAGACCTAACCACAAGAGAAACCTAAAATTAAAAAACTCCTAGAAGAAAACACAAGTATTATTGTGGCCTTATATTTAGGTAATGGTTTCTTAAGTATGACACCAAGTATACAAATATGACACCAAGTAAACAAAAGAAAAACAATAAATCAAACGTTATCAAAATTGAAAATGTCCTTTAAAGGACATCATCAAGAAAATAAAAAGTGAAGAGACAACCAAAGGATGGGTATTTTCAAGTCCTACATCTAATAAGAAATTGTATCTAGAAAATAAAAAAAAAACTTTATAAAGAATTTCTATAATTCAATAGAAAAAAGGCAAAATAATCCAGTTTTATGATTATAAATGTTCTAAACAGACAATTTTCCAAAGAAGACACACAAATGGCCAACAGCACACGAAAAGACGCTTAATGTCTTTAATATCATTAGATTCAGAAAATGCACAGCAACACCATGAGATACCATTTCACATCTACTAGGATGGATGTAATAAAAAAAGACAGAATTACAGGTATAGGTAAAGATGGAGAAATTGGAACCTCCATACAAGTAAATCGTGTAGTGCAGAATGTAAAAGTGCAGCCACTTTGGCAAAACAGTCTGGCAGTTTCTCAAAAGGTTAAACAAAGAGCTACCATACCAGCAATTCCACAACTAGGTATATGCCCAAGAGAAATGAAAACATGTTCACATGAAATCTCATACATGAATTTCATAGCAACATTATTCATAATAGCTAAAAAGTAGAAACCAGACAATGTTCATCAACTGATGACTAGCTGAATAAAATTCATACAATTGGGTATTTGGCAATAAAAAGGAATGAAATACAGATAAATGTTACCACTTGGGTGAACCTTAAAAACATTATGCTGAATGAAAAAAAACAGCTACAAAAGGCCACGTGTTGTATGATTCCATTTACAAGAAATGTCTAGAACAGGCAAATTTGCAGACAGATAAAGTAGATTAGTGGTTGCCTACCGCTGGGGACACTGGAAGGAAATGAGGGATGGTTACTGAAGGACACAGAGTTTCTTCCCAGGGTGATGAAAAGGCTGTAAAATTGACTGTGGTGATGGTTGCACAACTGTGAATATGCTTAAAAAAAAAAAAAAAAACCCACTGAGCTGCACACATTACATTGGTAAATTGTATGGTATGTGAATTATAGCTAATCAAACTGTTACCAAAAAAAAAAAAAAAAAAAAAAAAAAAAAAAAAAAAAAAAAAAAAAAAAAAAAAGGACTACTGAGACAGTTCTGAATGCTAAAGGAGAAAAAAGATTCGAACATGTCATGTAACCTTACCTTGGACACTTCCTCCTTTCCATTATTTTCTTTAATGAATACCTTCTCTAATTCAGGACTTATTCCTTCTACATTGCAGGGCACACGTGAAACTGATGATTTTGGCACTGATATATTTGACAGTGGCATAGGGACTGATCTTGATCCAGTAGCCTACAAAATATAAGACAAGGTGGGGTCAAATTATTTGTGGTCAAAAAAAACAAAAATCAAGAAATCAAGAATTGAAGAGCATGGTAAATCTGAAAATGGAAAACTCAATGAACAGAGATTTTTCAATATTATAAATACACTATATATCCAGATACACCCACAGAAATGTAGGTTCTAAAGTAAGGAAGGTCCAGAGCCGAAATAACCCTTTATGTAAGTGTCAAGTTTTAATAGTATAATGCATACATTTTTTTGGTAGGATGGCAGACAGAACCTTCTGCACAGTTTAATTTTTTCCCTTTTGTTGTTTTTACTAAAAAAACAGTTGAAATCATGTCAGTTAAATGTATCATGTGGCTTTACCAGACACCTCTGTGTTTAAAAGATTTATTTCCCTCACTGTTAAAATTACCTTCCAGTATTTTTCATTTCCATTTGTCAACCATTTGAGAAAACCTTCTGGATTATTAAGTAATGTGGCAACAATGTATCATGCTAAGTTCAGTAACACAATTGATATCCTTAAGGTTGTTTTTCAAAAGTCCTTTGGAGGAGTTCTCAAAAATTAACCACCTCTCACAGCTGTCATAGAAGGTACCTTAAAGACTTTTTTTTTTTTTTTTAAATCCAGTATAGTTAACATAGTGTTATATTACTTTCAGGTGTACAATATTGTGCTTCAACAATTCTATATATTTCTTGGTGCTCATCATAATAAGTGTACTGTTAATCCCCTTTACCCATCCCCCCACCACTTCCCCTCTGGTGACCATCAGTGTGTTCTCTATAGTTAAGAGTAAGACGAGCTTTTTGATGCTCAAGGAACTAATACCAGATTGGAAATGAGGAAAATAAAGATGAACAAGGCAAAAGTAAAAATGATACATGATCTCTCTCTTACTCTGAATGATTAAAGTTGATACATAGGATTCATACTGAGGTAGACTGCTAATCATTGATTAACACATGAACAATTATTTCCTCTACTCAGGGCTGTGTTTCTGCCATCTGTGAGCGGCTGCCTGCTAATGCCCTTTGTTATGATGCACACGTTTTTGTTTTTTTTTCATATGAAAGTTGTAATTCTTTGTCATACATTTGCTGTTTACTTTAGATCAAATACCTTTCTTTCAGTACTTTTATGGTTTTTCATTTTAAATATTTAACCTATCATGATTCATTTCTGTGTATGGTGTGAGGCGGTATTTTTTTTTTTTTTTTTTTTTTTTTTTTTTTTTTTGCCACACAGTAATCAAACTGCCAAGATTTCTTTATGATTCTATATTTGATTTCCTTATGATTTCTATATTTGATTTGATTTTCTTAACTGATAATCCCTATACAAAGTTTCACTTTAATTGCTGATATTTATAGTACATGTTGGTATCTCATAGGAAAAGTCTTTTCAAATTTTCTTTTCTATTAATTGGCATTAATTTTCCATGTGACTTTTGAAGACAACTTTTCAAGAAACAAAACCATTACTTTTAAATTTCCACTGGAATTCAATTTGAAAATTTCAATTTTCTGGAATTCAATTAATTTCAGGTAAATGGCTATTTGAAAAATGAGTCTTCCCTTCTCATGCATGAATGTGTTGAGATTTCCCATTAAGGTCTTGGTTTTCTACCTCATATTCTCAATAAAGTCTTACAGTTTGCATATTTCTCTTAAGTCTAATTCTTGGCATTTTATACATATTTTTGTATATACTAACATGTTATTGCTAATTGTAACATAACAAGAAACATGTATTTGGAATCTTCCCTGGTTCTTGACACACATTTCCTACAACTCTTATAATTTCCTGACTGATAGATATGCTAGCAGCATCTTTTGTTCTAATATTTGGTTTCTGACCATGGAACCTGACACAGAGGTTCTTAAATTCCTTGGAATTTCCTGGGTGATAGAAGAGTCTTCTAATGAGGGGACTTTTTTTTTTTAAACTTTTTTTAAAAGTTTATTTATTTATTTTGAGAGAGGGGGAGAGAGAGAGAGACAGAGTGCAAGCGGGGGAGGGAAAGAGAGGGGGATAGAGAGAGAATCCTGACTAGGTTTCATGCTGTCAGTGCACAGCCCGACAAGGGGCTCCATCCCATGAACTGAGATCATGACTGGAGCTGAAATCAAGAGTCAGATGCTTAACCGAATGAGCCACCCAGGTGCCCCTAATGAGGTGACTCTTGACAGGCTCCTGGATAGGTTCAGGATGAGGGCTAGTCAACAGGAAGATGAAGCCATGATTACAAACTTGGAACTTTCAGCCCCACACATCCTCTGGAGATGGCAGAGGGGCTGGAGAGTGAGTTAATAATGGATAATGCCTATGTGATAAAGCCTTCATAAAAATCTCTAAACTTTGGTTTTAGAGAACTTCTAAATTGGTGAATACATATCCATAAGCCCTGTGTACCTACCTCTTCATCTAACTGTTCATCTGCATCCTTTATTATATCTCTTATAATAAAGTGGTAGACCTAAGTGTTTCCCTGAGTTCTGTGACCTGTTATAGCAAATTACTGAACCTGAAGAAGGGTGGTTAGGAATTCCTTCTTTATAGTCAGATGGTCAGAAGTACAGATGACAACCTGGGACCTGTGACTGACATCTTAACAGGGTTGGGTAGTCTTATGGGACAGAGCCCTTAAATTGTGGGGTCTGTGCCAACTCTGAATAATTAGTTATAACTGAATTGCAGGATACTTAGTTAGTGTTTGGAATTGGCAAGTTGGTTGGTGTGGGAAAACCTCCCACACGTTTGGTGTTAGAGGCACTGTAAGTAGAGGGTACAGTGGTTTACCTTCATTAGTATAAAACTACTGATTTTTATAGGCTTATATTTTATCTTATCTTCTCATTATCAGTTTCTTTTTGTTGTGAAAAATTATAATCATAAACATAATTAAACACTATACAACAATGAACTTCAGTACACATCATCCACCTTCAAAATTACCAACATCTGCCAATCTTGTTTCATCTAAACATCTATTTTTCTTCTGTTCTTAGATTATTTGAAAGCACATTCCAGACTTCATACTTCACCTACAAGTATTTCAGTATGTATAGCAGATAATTATTTTTACACATAACCACGATGCCAAAAATTCAATGTAAATTAGGAACATGTGCCAAAGTCTTTTTTGTTGTCAGCAAGTCAATAGGTCTTCTATAAATCTATTGGGCTCTTACAGAAAAAGTGCTTAAAATAAACAGAGTAAAGAATAACACACTATTTCTACCAGATTAAGAAGAAAAAATTGTACTTTGTCTCTATAATTTTGCCTTTTCAAGAATTTAATATAATGAATCATATACTATGTAGCCTTTTGCTTCTGACTTCATTCACTTAACATGGTATTTTTGAGAATCAACCATGTCTTTGTAAGTATCAGGAGTTCCTTCCTTTTTCCTGCTGAAAAGTATTGCATGGGTGTTACAAAATGTTGTTTTATCTATTCATCAGTTGATGGATATTTGTTTCCATTTTTTGACTATTATAAATAATGCCTCCATGAACACTGATGTACGAGTCTTAGTGTGGACATACATTTTTATTTTTCGTGGCTAGATATCAACGAGTGAAATTTGGGGGCTCTATGGTCAGTGTGTAACTTTTTAAGAAAATGCCAAACTGTTTTTCACAGTGGTGGTACCATTCGGTCTTCCCATCAGCACTGTGTGTCTGTTCTAGTTGATCCAAATCCTCACCAACACTTGGTATAGGCTATTCTGTCAGTTTTAATGGTTTAGTTCATTGACTTTCATTTTCTAAATAGATTATATTGCATACAGATAACAATAACTATTTTTTTTCTTACTGCTCTGTCTAGAGCCTCTAAACTACTAGCAAATAATATCAATAACTGTGGGCATCTACGACTTGATTTTTATTTTAACAAATGTTTCCAATATTTTACTGTTAGGATCTCACCACATTTGCATTTTAGTCACATTAAGAAACGTCATATTTTTAATTTTTTTTTCAACGTTTATTTATTTTTGGGACAGAGAGAGACAGAGCATGAACGGGGGAGGGGCAGAGAGAGAGGGAGACACAGAATCGGAAACAGGCTTCAGGCTCCGAGCCATCAGCCCAGAGCCTGATGCGGGGCTCGAACTCACGGACCGCGAGATCGTGACCTGGCTGAAGTCGGACGCTTAACCGACTGCGCCACCCAGGCGCCCCAGAAACGTCATATTTTTAGTAAAGCCGGTTTTTACCACGTATAGATAACTGAGTTTTTATCAGGTGTTATTCAGCATCTACTGTGATCTTCATACGCAATGAACTAAACTAATATATTTCTTAATGCAAAATCATCCTTATGTTTGTGAAACATCTCTGATTAGATTTGTTTTGATTCACTACTTGGGTTTCTTCTTCTATACTTCTACATTTGATTTACTAAAATTTACATCAATATTTTTTTAATATTTATTTATTTTTGAGAAGGAAGAGAGACAGGCAGACACAGAGTGCAAGGGGCGGGGGGCGGGGGGGTGGGCAGGGGAAGAGAGAGGGAGACACAGAACAGAAGCAGGTTCCAGGCTCTGAGCTGTTAGCACAGAGCCCGACACAGGGCTTGAACTCACAAACTGAACCATGAGATCATGACCTGAGCCAAAGTTGGACGCTCAACCAACTGAGCCACCCAGGTGCCCCTAAAATTTATATCAATATTTTAGGTGAATTTGGTCTAGAAAAGCATCTCCCAAACTATATTCCATGGGAAGTACATGTTCCTACGGAGGCAGGAGAACCACAACAAAACCCCAATCCTCAATTTCTTCTAAGGTAAAATAGGTGTAAATAGATATAAAGAGATATAGATGGCTTAAGGTACCATTAGGAAGATTAAATGAGATAATGCCCATAGTTGCTTAACAAGTAAATGAGCTAGGATTTAGCCAGGCCAGCATCAATCATTCTGGAGATGACTACACTCTATTACATCTATTATTAAAAGAAAATTACATATATGGAGGAAAAATAAAACTTCTTGCAACAATTTAACAAGCAGTAACAATTTAGTAGAGCCAGGGATTTAGATTTTTAATTCTGCAACCCAACAATAATGGATTCTCCCTTTATAATGAACCCTTTCAAAGGAATTCTTCAAATCTGGACAAGAAATTAGCCTACCTGAGTGTGATTGATGGTTACATGGTTGCCAGGAAGAGGTGACTGACGCTCTTTCTCTTTACTGTGCCGACTGCTCTGTTTACTACGTTGTAGCTGCTGCCTCAGTTTGGCAATCTGCTTTGGGGAGGGGGGAGAAATAAGATGAGAACAACAGTGAATACCAGTTTTTAAGTACTTCTTATTTTAATTTTTGGATGCTGGTAATTTTTTCCTCAAAGGTTTCAAGAAGAGATAATATTTCACTGCAAAGATTTATTCTTCTACATTTTTAAGATTAAAACTATTGAAAATAAGAGGTACAAACTTCCAGTTATACAATGAGTAAGTCACAGGGATATAAAGTACAGCACGGGGAATACAGTCACTAATATTGAAATCATTATGTTTGGTGACAGAAAGTAACTAGACTTTTCGTGGTAATCATTTCATAATGCATAAAAATGTTGAATCACGATGTTGTACAACGGAAACTAACATGTTAACTACACTTCAATAAAATGTATGCTACGAATGCTTTACTTGCCCAATTGAAATAGTGTTTTGGTAAACATGCAGACTAAATTTTTCCAGATTATTTCAGATTTTACACCAAGTATCTTTGTACACCAAGTATCTACCTCTTTAAACACTTTTTATAAGGCAAAAAACTAGTGTTTCACATGCTAATTAAAGTCAAAGCCCATATATTAACATGGAGACCACATTAGTTTCTAAGTTTCCATCTTACATAAACAAAACACTCCTGGTTTAAAACACTTTAAAATTTTCAATCTTTTCATGGTGAGGAAATCCAAGCATTTAGCATTAGTAACTTCCTAGTACTGAATATCTTACTATACATTACTCTTTAGTCACTCAACTTTAATTTTCCAGCTCAATTGAGATATAATTGACATATGATGTTGTCTAAGTTTAAGGTACAGAACATGTTAATTTGATACATTTATATATTGCAAAATGATGCCACCGTAGCATCAGTTAACATGTCTATCCTATCACAAAATTACTACATCTTTTTTTGGGTGAGAACAGTTGAGATTTACTCTCTTAACAGCTTTTAAATATACAATACAATATTATTAAGTATAATCAAAATGCTACACATTAGATCCCCAGAACTTATTCATCTTATAACTGGAAGTCTGTACCTTTTGCCAACCCCAATTTCCTCTACCCTTCAGCTCCTGGTAACTACCATTCTACTGTTTCTGTGAGTTCAATCTTTACAGAACCCGCATACAAGTCATATCACATAATATTTGTCTTTGCCTCACTTATTTCACTTAGCATAATGCCTTCAAGGTTGATCCAGGATGTTATAAATGGCAGGATATCTTTCTTTCTCATGGCTGAATAATATTACAGTGGAGATACACACACACACACACACACACACACACACACACACACACACTCTCTCATACTACATGTTCTTTATCCATTCATTTGTTGGTGGACACTGGCTATAGTCAGAAGACTTTTAAAAAACAAATGTAACTTAGACTGTATTCTCCTAAGTGGAATGGTAACATTCCCAGGCTTAAGAGAAAAGTCATTATTACCATATGGCTTGGAATTCATTAAACTACTGGTATTTACCCCCCAAAAAATATAAAAACACTAAGTCAAAGGGATACAGGCATCCCTACTTTCATAGCAGCAAAACTATGGAAGCAGCCCAAGTGTTGGTAGATGAATGGATAAAGATGTGGTACACACACACACACAAACACACACACACACACACACACACACACACACACACACACACACACACTTGAATATTATTCAACTATAAAAAAAGAATGAAATCTGGCCATTTGCAACAAAATGAATGGAGTTAGAGTGTATAAGGTTGAGCGGAATAGGTCAAAGAAAGACAAATACCATATAATCTCACTCATGTGGAATTTAATAAACAAAACAAGTAATGGAAAAAAGAGAGACACAAACCAAGACATAGACTCTTACTATAAAGAACAAAAACCGATGGTTACCAGAGAGGAGGTAGGGATGGGGAAAATAGGGGATGGAAATTAAAGAGTACATTTATCAATATGAAAAAAATAGTAAAATGATTTTTAAAAGATAAGACCACGTTTGCAATCAAATGGTGCAGTGCCTGGCATGTGATAAGGTTCTGCAGGATTGAAACCTGTGCCCATTTCTGGTTTGCAGCGATGGCCCCACACAAAGTTCCTTGGAATCATCTGGGAAACTAAAAACCAAAAAACCAAAAAAACCCAAACTCACAAAATCCTGACCAACACAGATTCATTCCTGTGCCTGTCCCAGATCAATTTTTGTGGTTCTGTATAGTTTCTATGTGTCAGCATTTAGGAGCCCTTGTTCCAGAGTATTTGAAGTTACAAAAATGCAGCCACCAGACCCATCTCTAACTGCATGCAGCTCATCATGCCAATATTTAACAGCAGATTCTATCATGCCAGCCTAGCACTGCAAAACATTGTCCTTAGAATTTACTGTGGCAGAATAAATTTCCTCGAAATTAAACATAATCTCAAAAACTGAGACATAAGTATTACCAGGAGGTAAATTTCAAACAGAAAACAATTTATATTAAACAACAACCTGGACAGAACTCAAAATACCTAATATATTTTAGATGACATGTAATCTGCTTCAAATATGCCAGACCAGGAATAAAATATTCCTAAGCATTTTAAAGGGAATAATTAGCAATTTGGGGGAAGTTATAATACTGGTATTATTTTCTTTGTAGAAAAGATGACATCAATCAACTAACAGTTATTCCTTAAACACCTAGAAGCAAGCCCAGTTTTATGTTACCTACTTAAGCAAAGTGTAAATACAAAAGTAAAGTCTGCAGAATATATTGATTTCCTCAAGGACATAAAGCAAAAATACAATGTATTTTAATATTAGCTAAATGCTTTCCTTGAATAACCATGGCAATAAAAAGCAAAACAGACAGTTGCTATTAAAGCCTATACCACTCAAAGGGAAAAGTATATATAGGTTGCTAGAAAAACTTATTTTTACCTATGGCAAATAGAAGAGAAATAGCATGGAAGCAAATAAAGCACCTAGACAAAGGAATAGTTTATATCCTTTCTTTTATATTCATATCCTTAAATTCCTTTAGTTTTTTTTTTATTTTTTTTAACGTTTATTTATTTTTGAGACAGAGAGAGACAGAACATGAACAGGGGAGGGACAGAGAGAGAGGGAGACACAGAATCTGAAACAGGCTCCAGGCTCTGAGCTGTCAGCACAGAGCCCGACGCGAGGCTCGAACTCACAGACCGTGAGATCATGACCTCAGCCAAAGTCGGATGCTTAACCGACCGATCCACCCAGGCACCCCAAATTCCTTCAGTTTTTAAAGCTCTCTGTAGCTTGTAGACCTCTCACACAACGATCTTGCAAAGATATACAAGCAAGATGGTCTATGTTAACGTTTGAGTTCCCTGCTCTCTGTTGAAATGACATGATTTTCTTCTAGAGAACATTAATTTTCACAAGAAAACGAATCAAAATTAGTAGGTAATCATTATAAATCAGAAAAGATTATTTTCTATGATAAAAAATAAAAAGGATTTCAAATTGTACAAGTCACTTAATTAGGAAAGAGGTAGCAAATTAAGTGTTTTCTGAATATTAATGATGTTTCAGTGCTGTTTCAAAACCAGCAAGAGCTTGTATAGAAGAGCCCATAATGCCTAGAGATTAATCAAGGCAATTTGTACTTTTTCATTTTTAAAATAATCTTTAAAAATAAACAAACAAAAGCAATCTGAAAATTGATCAGTCCTAAATCACTCTATTTTAAAGGCCTTGAGATATCACCATAAGCCAGAAAAAATTTTGTTCTCAACAGCCTTAACAAACCCCTGAAAACAAAGAGCATCCATCATGGGTACCTATCTTACTTTGCCTGGAACACCCAGTTAAACTGTGTAACCTTACAGCTTTCACACAATACTGTTCATCTCAGGATATTATATAGCTATGCTCTTGTTTACAATTCCGTAGAGATTAGGGTAAAAGGGAGCTCATCTTCCTAAATATATATACTCAGATTACAAGTTTTAGTCAAGACCTATGTAAAATGAAAGCAAGATGCCGTTAAGTCCTCCTTCGCTTCAGAGTAAGGCAGTTCCTGTGTTGTTTACAGCTACATTCAGTAGAGGGGCAGACCTGTGTCACAACTATAAACACTCTCACATTCCATAGTCGGGCTTAGAATTGCCCTCTCCTTTTCCTTTGATGCTCAAGAGCCCATGGCCATTTGTAGCCAGTAGAGAGTAGACATTAGAACCAGCGAAGAGTAGACACAAAGTCGTGTCCATGAGGAAGGGGCAGAAGGAAAGTGCAATCCCCTCTCCCCACACACAAACACACATACATCCCACCTCATCCATAGCTCTGAAGCTCTGCCCAAGACAGCCTCTCAAGGCCTACATTCCATCAATTGCACGGAAGCTCCTGGTCCTCACTTTGATGAACTCGCCCACCCCAGTCACTGATGAAATGCCTACCAACCTTCATTTACAAAAAGGGCAGTAAATTGTACTGACTGGATTTTTTTTTTTTTTTTTAAGAGAGAGAGCACGCACACACACACACAGTGGAAAAGGGCAGAGAGAGAGGGAGAGAGAGAGAATCTTAAACAGGCTCCATGCCCGGTCAGATCCCAACATGGGGCTGGATTTCACAACTGTAAGATCATGACCTGAGTTGAAATCAAGAAGTCAGACGCTTAACCAGCTGACCCTTACTGACTAGACTCCCCTTACTGACTAGATTTGAACTAAACTATAGATATATCTGATTTTGTGTTTCTAAATATTCATTAGCTATGCTGTGGCCTTATGAAAGAAATTAAGAATGGGCCTTGAGGGTATTATGCTAAGCAAAATAAATCAGCCAAAGAAAAATACTTTTTCATGTCACTTATATGTAGAATCTTAAAAAAATTCATACAAAGAGCAGACTGGTGGTCACCAAATACAGGATGGGGTACAGAATATGGGTGAAGGTAAGTCAAAGGGTACAAACTTCCAGTTACAAGGTAAGTAAGTTCTGGGATGTAGTGTATAGCATTGGTGACTACAGTTAACAATACTGTACTG